GATTTGACATGATGTCCTGAGACGTTGCAGCTGATAGGAGTCATAAAACAGAACAGGGGGATGTTAGATGACCTGACACCCCTCTAGATAAATGTGTTCAATGAGTGAAGGAAAATATGAGTGAGCACCAAGCAACAACCCTAGGTTCTCCCCTGAGAACATGAACAAACTGTTTATGTGCAACCCTGGATATAAATAACATTAGTGATGGCTGTTTTTTTTTCACTCAACGATCAGTGTTGTGTTGGGGAAGAGTCACTGTAGGGAATTATTATTATTATTATTTAAAATGTTATTTATTTTTTGTGTTAACGGTGGTGATGGAAAAAAAGACATGAATATCAGCTGCATGCTCACATTCAATAGGAACAAACCAGCTGCTCTTCTATCTAAGCTTTGACAGCACGACGGCTCAGTGGTTAGCACCGACGCCCCACAGCAAGAAGGTCCTGGGTTCAATCCCCGGTTCGGACCTGGGGTCTTTCTGTGCGGAGTTTGCATGTTCTCCTCGTGCTTGCGTGAGTTTTCTCCAGGTACTCCGGTTTCCCCCACACCTAAAAACGTGTACAATAGTTTAGAGATCTGGGGGAAAAAATTTGAAACACAGGAAGCACAACAATTTGTAATGTTCTAAAAGAAAGTACTGGTGTACAAACGTTGAGCAGGTTGGCCAAGGAAAACAACAGTAGTTGATGACAGTAATATTGTGAGAACTGAAGGAAAAAACCCCAAACATCAGTAAGTGATATCACCAACAACCTCCACAGCCCACAAAGATGCAAACCTCTCCTCAGAAATAAGAATCAGATGGCCAGATTGAAATTTGCAAAGAGGTACAGAGATGAGCCACCACAGTTCTGTAAGAAGTCTTCTGGACTGACGAGACCAAGATTAATCTCTACCAAAGTCATGGAAATGCCGAGCCGAACCGCATACAAGTGCTTCTGTGGAGATGGGGCTTTAGCAGTGTTGTGTCATAGACACAAGGATTACTTAGGGTAACTTTCAGAACCCGAACTGTGACTAAAGTTGTTGGTATTTAATTGACCATTGTGGGCTCGTTTCAGGTGCGTAAAGCCTTGCGAAGTGCGGAGGCCTATGACAATTTCCTGCGCTGTCTGGTTATTTTTAACCAGGAGGTGATCTCCAGAGCTGAACTGGTGCAGCTGGTCCTGCCCTTCCTGGGGTGAGTTAACCAGTCATCTTTCAGGCGTGTGATTTTTCACACAGGCAGTTCGGCATCTCGTTGCTGCTTTATTATTTGCTACTGATTTTGTTTTGCAGAAAATTCCCTGAGTTGTTCAACTGGTTCAAAAACTTCTTGGGATATCGTGAAATGGTCCACTTGGAAACTTACCCCAAGGAGCGTGCCACAGAAGGCATAGCCATGGAGATTGACTACGCTTCGTGTAAGAAGCTCGGCTCCAGTTATAGAGCACTACCCAAAAGCTACCAACAACCCAAATGTACCGGCAGAACGCCTCTTTGTAAAGAGGTGAGTCACCAACACTCATCAACTTAATCGTTGTATTTAAAATAATCTGTTGTATAAAGTGTCCACAAGGGCTGGCTAGTGTGGGCAGAAAATACAGTATGTATCTGCATTTTTAGACTAAATGCTAGCGGTGGGCACAGCTAACCAAAAAGTTAGCTTAGCTGTTGGCTGCTAGTGGATTAGTGCAGGGGTTCTTAACCTTTTTGACCTCGGGGCCCAGTTTGTTTAACACAAAGTGACACGAGGGCTGTGTCCAAAACGGCAGGCCGGGTCCTCCGAAGGTCGAATTTGTCGGCCGCATACGTCACAGCGCCGCGACGAAGGACGTCCAAAACCGAAGACTCCTCCGATGCGTCCGACAAATACGTCCTTCTTTTTCCCCGAATCGAAGGACTGGTCTGATGATCCTTCCCGGCCCTAGCATATCCCATAATGC